AACTGTTCGCTGGACTTGTGCGCAATGCCCCAACTACCGTGGCCGATTTTATAAGAGAAGCCAATGCCATTGAGTGTGCTCTGCACCAAAGATCGAGGCAATATGATCGCTCGTCCACTACCACCCGAATCAACGCCGCTTCAGTGACTCTGGACAATCAGGGCTCCCTACGTGACCTTATCAGAGATATTGTCCGCGAAGAAATGCAGAAGCTTTGGACTCCTCCAGTGGATACATCAGTGACCGCCGTTGCCGCAGTCGTTCGTGACGAACTTAGGCACGCTTTTTCAGCAACTGATCTCGATCGCGATCAGCGTCAACTGAGTTACGCCGACGCTGTCCGCCGACCACCACCCGTCCAGCCCATTACATCATACTACCAGCCACCTACAGCCGCACCTTCGTCGCAACCATTGCAGGAGGCTTTCAGACGTCAGCCCATGTCTCCGATGTCTCCATGCCACCAGCCACCACTTGCCGCGCCTTACTCACCACCACGAGAGGACATAAGACGCCCACAATTTCGCAGAACGGACGCTTGGCGCACCGTCGATCGGCGCCCTCTCTGCTTCAACTGTGGTGGTGTCGGCCATATAGCTCGCTATTGTTGGTACCGCGACACATCGCTTCGCCCGTCTCGGCCAGGGTACGACGGTCGCCGTGCCAATGACGACTACATTGTTCGCCATGACGACCTTGCTTTTCGAGGACCTTCAACAAAGTGGTCTGCCTATCACAAGTCGCCTCCTCATCGCCAGCCCAATGCCGCCCACAGGTCACGCTCTCCATCCCCTGCTCAGACATCATCACCGAATCGACGTACTTTTGCTGACCTTCGGGCAACAAGGTCGCCCAGCCCTTACCGGGGAAACTAAAGGCGGCGACCTCTCGGGGTAAGGTCGCAGCCCGACCACAAGACGATAAAAAGTCCCCAGTACTGCCGCGACAGAACGACTTGACGCCGACGAATATTAACAACGACGAAATGGTGAGCGCCGACCTCAATGTAATTATTGACGGAGAGCAAGTGACGGCCTTAGTCGATACGGGTGCTGATTTTTCCATAATAAGTCGGAAGCTGGCTGATCATCTTAGAAAAGTAAGAACGCCATGGACAGGACCACATATAAGAACAGCGGGTGGTCAATTACTGCTTCCCACAGAAAGATGCACAGCAAGAATCAGCATAGGAGATTCTTCTTTCGTCGCGACTTTCATTGTTCTCCCAGAGTGCTGCAAAGATTTAATTATAGGAATGGACTTTCTCAGGGAGCATGGCGCAATAATCAACATCCCGGACCGCGTGGTTTCATTTTACGAGAGTGCTCGTCTGACTGATCATACATCACCAGAGCACAAATTCTTTCGTCTCAAAGACCACAATATAGTCGTGCCGCCTCGATCGTGTATCCTCGTTTCAGTAGCATGTGACGTACCGTTCGACGGTGAAGGAGTCGCCGACCAACTAACCTCGCTGCTTTTCACTCACGGGATTTCCGTAGCACGAGGAATAGTCAATGTCACCGACGGCCGAACGAACTTGCTGTTGACCAATTTCACCTCCGAGCGACGGCACCTTCCAAAAGGCACAACGTTGGCACATTTCGACGAGATCGCAGATGTTCATGACTGCTTTTCAGCACTCGAAGCAACACCTGCACAAGACCCACGTGACCTAGCACCTAACCTTGACGTCAGCCCTACTTTAACTCAGCAACAGCGGGAACGCCTGCTTGTGCTGCTAGACGAGTTCCACGACTGTTTTGCGTCGACCTCGAAAGTTGGCCGGACGTCCTTGACCAAGCACCGAATCATCACAGAGGACACGGCTAGACCAATCCATCAAAATCCGTACCGTGTGGCTTCAAAAGAGCGAGAAGCGATAGAACAGCAGGTAACAAAAATGCTTGAAGACGACGTCATTCAACCGTCGAAAAGCCCCTGGGCATCACCTGTTGTTCTAGTGAAAAAGAAGGACGGCAGCCTGCGTTTCTGTGTGGACTATCGAAAGCTAAATCAGGTTACAAAAAAGGACGTGTACCCGCTTCCCCGCATAGATGATTCAATTGACAGGCTTCGAAACGCACGTTACTTCTCTTCCATGGACTTAAAGAGCGGATATTGGCAAATTGAAGTAGACCCCAGGGATCGTGAAAAAACCGCTTTCGTGACGCCAGACGGACTGTACGAATTTAAGGTTTTACCATTTGGCTTGTGCTCCGCTCCTGCTACTTTCCAGCGTCTCATGGATACCGTTCTCTCTGGCCTTAAATGGAGAACCTGTCTAGTATACCTTGACGACGTCATTGTGTTTTCTACAACGTTTGACGAACACCTTGAACGATTGCAAATGGTCTTGCAGGCCATACGGGCCGCAGGCCTGACGCTCAAGCCGGAGAAATGTCACTTCTGCTTTGAGGAACTGTAGTTTCTTGGCCATGTCGTCAGTTACGCAGGAGTTCGTCCAGACCCCGAAAAAGTTGCCGCCGTCGCACAGTTTCCAACACCATCAGATAAAAAGGCAGTGAGGCGTTTTCTGGGTCTCTGTGCATATTATCGGCGATTTATTCCAGATTTTGCGCGCATTGCGTCACCTTTAACTCGTCTCACGAGGGATGACGTTGCATTTGTTTGGGGCGACGAACAGGAAGATGCTTTCAATGACTTGCGCAACGTCTACAGACGACCCCCGTGCTTGCCCATTTTGATGACACAGCCCCTACAGTGCTCCATACTGACGCCAGCAATGTTGGCCTCGGAGCTGTGCTTGTACAGCGCCAGGATGACGAGGAAAGAGTGATCGCTTACGCAAGCAGAACTCTGTCACGCACAGAAGCAAATTACTCGACCACTGAAAAGGAATGCCTCGCCGTGGTGTGGGCAGTTATGAAATTTCGCCCATACCTGTACGGCCGCCCATTCAAGGTTATCAGTGACCACCATTCGTTGTGTTGGTTAACAAGTCTGAAAGATCCTTCCGGGCGATTGGCACGCTGGAGCCTTAGACTACAGGATTTTGATATAACGATGGTGTATAAGTCGGGAAAACGACACACGGACGCCGACTGCCTATCTCGATCACCAATAGAGTCAGCTGCTGCTTTTGATGAAGAGACAGCGTTCCTCGGAATCCTCGACACGTCAACCATAGCAGATCACCAGCATGACGATCCTGAGCTACTTGGCTTGATTAATTATTTAGAAGGACGAAGCCAGAATGCACCCAAAGCCTTTACAAGAGGACTATCGTCGTTCTGTCTGCGAAACAATGTCCTTTACAAAATGAACTTCTCGTCAGACGGGTCCACCTACCTGCTTGTCGTCCCTACCACTCTTCGTTCTGAGGTGTTGCAAGCGTGCCACAACGAGGTAACATCTGGACATTTAGGCTACACGCGCACACTGAGCAGAGTTCGAGGGAGATATTACTGGCCTAAACTCACCGCTACTGTAAAGCATCATGTTCGGACCTGCCTCGATTGCCAGCGGCGGAAGTCACCTCCAACTGAAACGAGCCGGTTTGCTACACCCTGTCCAGATCCCGACAACGCCGTTTGACCAGATCGGAATGGACCTTTTGGGCCCACTTCCCACCTCTAGTGTTGGCAACCGTTGGGTTATAGTGGCGACCGACTACCTTACTCGCTACGCCGAGACAAAAGCCATCCAGAGAGGCACAGCAGAGGAGGTAGCCCGGTTCTTCATAGAGAACATTGTGCTGAGACAGACAGAGACACGGTGCGCCATCGATCGTTATAACAGATCGCGGAACCGCATTCACGGCCGCGCTTTTAGATCATGTGTTGGTGCTCAGTGGTACTATTCATCGCAAGTCGACAGCTTACCATCCACAAACCAACGGGTTGACCGAGCGACTTAACAAAACTCTGGAAGACATGCTTTCAATGTATGTGGACTTCGAACACAAAAACTGGGACGAGATTATCCCTTACATAACGTTCGCATACAATACTGCGAAACAAGAAACCACACGGATGACCCCATTCAGCCTTGTTTACGGACGAGAAGTAAGAACGATGTTAGACGCGATGCTGCCACACGAATGCGATGACAACGAAACGAGTGCTGACGCGTTTACTCAACGCGCAGAGGAAGCCAGGCAGCTCGCACGTCTGCGAATATACAAACAGCAAGAGTACGACGCAGGCCGCTATAACCAACGTCATACACCTGTAACGTACGAAACCGGGGACAGGGTATGGGTGTGGACGCCTGTACGAAGACGGGGACTATCCGAAAAATTGCTCAGAAGGTACTTCGGACCTTATCGAGTGCTGCGACGACTAAGTGACGTTACCTATGAAGTCGTCCCGGATAGCCCAAACTGTTCAAGGCGTCGCCAGCACCGACCTGAGCTTGTGCACGTAGTGCGCATTAAGCCATACGTCAGCGAGTGACTCTGCGAGGCACCGTCGCTTCTACAAAGTGACTTCTTGCGCAAATTACTGTCTCAGCTATAGCATCGGGGCGATGCTCTTTTAAGGGGAGGCAAATGCCGCGCACGAAACAAAGAACGAAGACGATGTGCGCGCCAACAGTCTCGTGAAAAGGGGGACTGAAGAAGACTGACGTGCTTTTGTTTTTGCTCGCCTGCTCTTGGCTCCTGCATAAAAACACACGCCGTTGGTTCTCGGACTCAACGTCTCGGTGCACTGCTTACGTTGAACCGCGACAATATATATATATATATATATATATATATAAGGAAAAAATGCAGGATCAGTCAATCTAGAGTCAGTCACTCGTAAGCACATACTATGGTAATATCAAGGGGTAATGATAACTACTGGTGAGCTAGCTTCTAGCCGTCGCCTCCGGGACCGCTAGGAGACGGTGTTGCACAGCTTTGCCCTTGACGACTAATATCGGGCTGTCCAGCGGGCCCAAGCCTTTTTTTTTTACGGGAGAATGCGTCGTCACACTCAGCGACGTTCCATAGAATATTTGTTGTTCTTAACAAGCTGTAACTGTGCTCTCACCACCAGGAATGCGCCAACATCGGTGTCCACAAGCGGTGGGCTGGGACTGGTGGTGGCTGTCAGGGCAATGTAGCAGGCACCCAGTGTACCCAGCAGCATCTGCGCCCATATGTGCCTCAACCGGCGAAGTGCAACAAACATGGCGAGTGCGCAGGCCACAGGATAGGCGACACCACAGAGGGTCACTGATAGATGCAGTGCTCGGGGTCCGTACGGTAGGCACGAATATGACTGCGTGGTAGATGTTCAGGCAGGAGTTGTTAGTGAATGCTGGCTCTCCAGACCAGGGTTTTGCGCATTTGATTAGCGTCTTAAATAGCAAGACAAGACTTCTGTGTCAGTTAATGAGTCAGCACAGATATGCTCTCTGTTAAGATGATAAGATATACCTTGGGAAATTGAGGACCGTTTATGCAGTGCCATTGGCGCTACGAACCAAGCAGGTAACACTAGTACAATCTAGTAGAGTTCAATATTGAGCGCATAGGGTATGATACAATTGTGTAAATGACCTAATCATCATTATTTTTGGGCTAATCAGTTAAAGCAAACAAAAAAAATTTGACCATTTATGTATTATGCGTGGATGGTGGAAACAATCGGCTATGGCACAATTTAGCAGATATACCGAATGTACTTGAGGTCATGACAGCATCAGACAGCGTGAGTTATAAAAATGAAATCCACACATCTCCGCAAAGCAAAAAGTGACCAGTGTTTCAAGCACTGGGCATCGTTGGTACCGTTAATGACCCATGACATTGCCGGTTTGTGCACATGGATGAGTGAAAACGTGAGTGTGCAGTATATTCGGTGTTCGGGCCAATGAGCCGCTGCTTTTGCAGCTTGTTGTCGGCCGTCTCAACTTTGCAACTGCTTCGCGAGTTCTTGCCTCCAAGGTAGCTTGTCTGCGTCGGCGTTTTCTTTTGCACGTGAGAGCGCTTTCATCCATGATAGAATAAGAATTTGTTCTCGAACGCGCTTATTCACCACCATCAATGGCATCGACATGATGTATAGGGTGTACCTTGCATTGTCATCATCGTCATCCTCATTCCCACCATGAGCATGGACAACGGTCAAGCCTACACTTTAAAAAATACCCAAGGCCGTTTACAATGTGTCATTTTTTAAGTGCCTATCCAATTAGATAGGCAGAAGCAAGAGATTTTGTGACAGATTCAGCCAACATACGAAAAATTTAAGGATACCTGCAGCTTAGCGCAGCAGCCTTGCCAATCAATGTAAGAAGCGTCAACCGAGTAACCAATTTTGCTTTCTGGAGACTTCAATTCATTTTGTTTCTTTATGTTCTTTCAGTTGAAAAATGAGCGATGTTGTGATACACATATTAAAGCTTTATAACTCGGAGACAAGATGTGCGCAGACGCAGACTCCCAGCTGAACGTTTAATGACTGAAGGACAACATATGCACAGTGATTACCTGATGAACTAAGCTCATTGGACAGTGATACACGTACACGTCAGAGAGTATCTTGGGTGCATTGATCTCTGTGGCGATACCAAAATCTTTGTTTCGTCCAGACACAATAGACACGTGTAATTGCTACCTACTTTACACTCCCTTCAATGTTTTGACATGCGAATCGCCGTATCTAGTGCAGTTATTAAGGTGCTCTTTGTGGTCAAGTATTTATAAACCTTCTTGTTTGTCCCAAGTACACTCACACACAACAAAAAATAAATTCACAAAACACTAGACAGGCGCAGTGGCCAAACATCCCCCTATATTGAAGACGGCAAATAGAAGGACTAGAATTCGGCATTTAGTCTGTAACATTCAGTGCCACAGCAAACAATCGCGACATTTTTCTGAGGGGCTGAAAACACGACGTTCACATCATAGTGCTGCGCTTTGTTTTCTAATTATGTGACATCTCGAGCTGGTGTGAGATGAGTGCATGTACTTCACACGTTGAATGTGAACGCAAAACCCGGGGAAGACCGCACGTCGTTTTTTTCAACCTCTTAACTACGTTTTCATAAGACGCTAAAATGACAGGTGATGAATAACCAGAAGTCGTTGGCCCACCCAACTGCAACTCTACACTTTCCGTCGCTATACAGGGCATGACTTCCACAATGCAGCATCCATGCAAGCAATAGCTTTGTCATTCTCAAGCATCTTCAAATGCCTCGGTGAAAAGTTGAGGTGCTGTACTGAGACCTAGGTTGATAGAACCAACAGGTGTGAGGTGACTTCAAAACAGAGCCCAATGTCCAGAAACTGCAATGCGTTAACAGGAAGCTCAGCCGCAAAGGTATTACCTAGCACCCATTCGATAAAAACTTGCTTAGCTTCAAAAAACTCCTTCTTCCAGCCCCTTTTAGTTGTAAAAATCAGGTAATTGTCCATACAGCGGACCACACGAGAAGCAGCCCTGCCTATTTGTCTAGTATATAACGGCTTTATCCGCGTTAAATAAAAGTGTGTCGGTAAGCACTTTCTAGTGTTTCGCGTACAAATACGTGTATTTAGACGTGCTCGATTTCTAAGCAGTAAAGCAGTGACCGATTACTTTTTGAAAATATATATAGCTACACCTAATCATTTGTACACAGTAATTTTTGCACCCTTAAGGGTTTAAACGGGCTTGTCACCAGAGGAACACTCTATGGGTGTTTTCAGATTCACTCTACTGAAAGGGTGTTATGTGAACACCTTAGACGAAGGGTGCCGAGAAAAATGAAACTTGGGGTGTTAGGGAGTTTTGAACTGGAACACCCTTTTTCAAAGGCATTGGAAAAGTGTGCACCCTCTGCTATATCAATAGGCGTGCGCTGCAGTGTTCCGCTTCAGGGGAGGGTGAAGTCAATATATACATGTGCACGAATATGCATGGCTATATATCGACTTCCACAGAGCCTTAACGGGTATGCATGGCAGATGGTATTAAAGATGCAAAGGGCACAAACAAGACTTGAAGTATATATAAGTATAATGTAAATGCATAACATTTAACTTGTTCATGTGTAATATATATATGCAGGCATGCTTATAAGTATGTCATACAGTTGAATATCTGGACTCTTATTGAATACCGCTCGTCTCATGTATATCCGCTGAAGGCTGTGAGCCAACACAGCATGCAGAGGGTGCCTTGTATATGTGTCTGTATGCATTTCTACACATGCACACACACATATCCACATTTGTAATTCAAGATATATGGTACTCAAAGCAGTGTGCCTGTCTATTGCAAGATGCAGAGAATGCACATATTTCAGCAACTTAATTTGCAGTTAAACCTCTCATGGCTAAATCATGGTTCAGTCTTACAAAGTTAAATATATTGTGCATATATAAAAACAACAGTGCTATGTTGATGCACATCGCTTTCACTTTTAAATAAATCTGTTTTTGATGCATTTTAGAAATAAATATGGATTTGTGCAGAATAAATATCAAGAAGTACCATAAGGCAGTTTTTCTCTAAATTATTTATATTTATTGAAAAATTTTACACGTGCTTCTTGCAATGTGCATCATATCACAACGGCCCACATTATCTAATCTGACCATAACCAAGGCAGTGCAATTTTATTTAGGTTAACAAACAAGCTGCGAAAACAATTGCACAATAGCCCTTGTGTTGTAGGAATGTAATATGGTAATAACTAAGAAGTTCAATGACCATGGGTTATTTGACAGCATGTGTGCCCAGCTATGCAAAAGGAGAAACATGCGTGACTTGTGAAGCAAATGCAAAATATATTAATGCGGCACTAAAAACGGCAATAATCAATAAACTTTTAATCACTAATACAATCAATCATAAAAAATAAGCAGTAAGGCAAATGTGAAAGAACATTACCATATGGCATTATCATATGGCTATGTGGATTTTACAACAATGTTTAAGAACTTCGGAACAGACCTTGGTGTTGTCTTTTTGAGCTCAAGAAAAAATCTTTTGAGGACGACGAGGGTGTTGAAGGCTTTACAAGCATATTGAACATTGAACACCCAGTTTGCACACATAAATGCGACAAGTCCTTCCTCTGCATTAGTCACTTGAAAACATTTTGTCTGGTCTACCATCAGACAGAAAAACTCTGCAACTTCAAGGACGACCCCATTATAAGATACACATGGCATTGCTGGCATGTTGTCCTGTATTGGCAAGGTGAGAATGCATAGACTTCACTGAGTGGCTTACTTCAAATTCTGTACAGTTTAAAAAAACAGGTTTAGTGCACTTCAAAAGACACAACTTGATTTTAGCATTACAGATGTGATATCTATCATTAAGAACAATTTCAATGTGTGCACCTTAACTATAGTTTAACTGGGAGATTGAAACAATATAGTGCATTTGACAAAATGAAAGGAGCAATTGTAGTGTCACGAGTTCTCTAGGCAATCACAATGCAAACAATGAAAATTTATGCATCCATTCGACATACACAAACAAAAAGCTAATATTCACTGCCCCTTAGCGTGCACAAAACTTGCCTCATTAGGGAATAGGGAAAGAAATCAAGCCTCCTTGAAAAATTTTCTTCAGACATATTTAGTTATTCTACATCAGCTAACATAAATTAACTGTGTTATACTTAAAAAATAATAATTTCTTCTTCCTGGACAAATAAAAACACTCCTTAACACACACAAAAAAAGAACAATGGCTGGAGAAGGTGATGTAGATTGTACCATATATTTTTATCCTTGTTTCATCTTGCAATTCATTTTTTACTTGCTGTATGAATCAATTACCATGCAACTCTAATGCTCATCACACTGCTATTCTGTCTGTGTATTTAACCTGATACTCAGATTTTTTAAACCCGGGTATGGAGTGCAAGAGGTTCAGGAGCACTCAAGAGTTTGAAAATGTCTCTTGTTTTGCAGACACAATAATGGTGGCAGAGGATAGCCTTGTGTAAATTTATTTAATGCACACTGCTTAAAAGCAAGACATGTCACGAAGCAAACAAAGCATAAAATGAGCCTGGGGCCTTGCATTCATATATTAAAAGATTCATGTCACAAAACTAATTCGTGATTACACTGATCAGATAGAGAGAGAAAGTATATGCTAGCAGGAGTTACTGCTGTTTTGCAAAGCAACATGCCAAACAATGTTTAGAATGAAAAAAAACCATCTTGACGTAAAATGCAACTTAAAGTGAGTATTGCAAGGCATCATTTAGAGAAAATAGATGCAAAATTGCATAGCAATGTCATACACTTTAAAAAAAATAC